CTTTTATACTCTTTATATAATATGTCATCATGGTATTTAATTCTTTATCATCTAGATCACAGCGTCCTCTCAATGACCTTTATTTATCAGGTGAGTCAGATCTGTGGTAAATCCCACAAAGGATTTCTTCTGTTGGATTCATTTATCACATTATCACGTATTCATGCTGAGATGTGAGCGTGAGATTCAGTAATGTTGTTCAGTCCATAAAGCCGCGCTGTGATAAATCCTCCTTGTTCCATTGTGTTTGTTGGAAAAGAGGGGGGGGGGGCAGGAGGGTAGAGCCACCTGAAACCGCAGTACCTCATAGTTAATAACAAAAACAAAACTTCAGCATTATAAACCTGAGTGAATGCTGCGTTATTATACACAACTCATACAATAATGACATGCAACATACTGTGGTGAAGTGTCGAGCCACAAATACACCTAAACAACAGGTGAAGAGCGTCCCGGTTGGACAGCGTCCCATCGAGAGTTAACACCCGGCGGAGTGTGGTGATTGGTTGCATGGAGGATTTTAAGCAGCAATAGGTAATGAGAGTTTTTTTTACCAAACCACCGAGGATGAAGAAGACCATGAACAGGCGGCCGAGGGTGGTTTTTGCATAAACGTCTCCGTATCCCACAGTGGACATAGTGACCATGAGCAAGTAGACACATTCCCAGTAGGAGAGAGCCTGGGAATTTTTGAAGTTTTCCCAAGGATCCCCTGAGTTTTCCACCTGGAACAGAAGATTTACACAATGAACACAAAGATTTTTCCCACGATGCAATAAAAAGTACAAAGTAAAAATGAGTATTTGCTTTAATAGACTCATTAACTCACCAGATGAATGAAGCCTGCTGCGGTTAGCCATGTGCTTATGAAGATTGAACACAGGTTCACCAGCTTTATTGAGTTGCTATTTGAAAAAGAAGCGTTTGAGCTTTTAGTTATTTCACTGACATTAAAAATGATGGTCCAAGATGTCAAAACAATTCAACTGAATTATAGAGAATCTTAGATGATAGAGCTCATATAATGTTTTACAGAAATAATTCAAGACAAAAAAATTACATGCAACATAAAACATCATTAAAAACAAACTTTTCCTGATTGACACATGTGGGATTATTGTGTATTCTTTACTTTTATTGTCGAGGTTATTAAAGTAACATGCAGCTCTATTTACGCTTCAGCATTCTTCTACTCTTTTACTCTCCTTTTCATCTCTGTTATTTTGCTTGAAAATTGTTTTAAACTCTGCTTTCTTATTTTGTCTCTGTGTTGTTTTTATGTCCCTGAACATAATAACCATAATAACATAATCTTCTCGCTGTGTATTCAGTCTTTAAAGACCACAGAACACAACGTCCCTGAAAGACCTCTGTCCTCTCCTCCTTTGTGCGATCTGCCTTTCACCTCCATCTGAGTGAACGAGCGCAGAGATTATTCTAAAGCATTTCGATGCACTATAAGCTTTTCCTGACATCTGTGCAAAAAATAAAAGATTTAATTTCTAAGTGGTAAGGAGACAAACCGGAGAGCTGTTTTTGTTCATGCACGTTACAGAGCTGGCTACAGTTTAACAAGGAGTAAACTTTAATATATACCTCATCAAATTAAAGAGATCTTACTGTGATCTATGTAGCATCAAGCCAAACATTGCAAATGAAGATTAATCTTAAATTGTGTCGTGTTTATGTGTCAACTGCACATGCACCGCACTTCACACTGCCACACACACACACACACACACACACACACACACACACACACACACACTAGGGAAAAAGTCTGATTAAATAGCCACACACTTACCTCGTTTTGAGTATATTCAAAAACTGTAAAATTTCTGAGAACTGTATCAACCTTAAGGCCCTTAAAAATCTCAAGCCTGCGAGAGGGGGAAAAAAAGACCATAGAAAAATTAGCACATATGATTAATAAGAAAATCTGATAAACATCAACAGCAATCGTTGGGCATCCTACCTTTCATACCTTCATCCCTGCTTAACAGCTTCAGTGGATTCATATTGATTAATAAAATAAACTCCGACCGATCAGAAGTTACTGTTTCATCATAGAAACATTTTGAATATGTAGAGAGGATAAAAACTATAAAAACAAGCTCTACATCCTGGAGCTCTCTTCATCTACTCAGAACACTCTGCTTTCATCTCAGGAGCCTCCGGCATCTACCTGCATCGCTCCTGCCGGAAAAAAACTCTGAACGTGGATGAGATGAAAACCTGGATTAAAATGAGGACAGGTGGACGCTGTCACGGTAAATTGAACGAGTAAACAGTTGTGACGTCAAATCCTAAATTTGAGAGGAAGGGGGGGAAAAAATAGAGCCTGTTGCCAAGACTTCAAGGACGAAACAACACAGATAAAACCACCGACAACACGAGCCTGAGCGTCTGTATCGACCAACGTCAAAGCAACATGAACATTTAATTTAGAACCATTTTACTGCCACTGTCGTCCAGTTCAACATCAACACAAGTTACACGTTAAGCAGAATAACACGTGTTCTCTGTTATGTTTCAGTATTTAGGTGCAGTGCAGTAAACCGCCTGCTAAGAGAAAGTTCCCACCGCAGTTTGAAAGCCACATGATTCATGGTTGAATTTAAAAAAAGAAGCTGTATCCACTGCAGAGTCGCTGCTGCATCAACAATTAAAAGCCTCCTCAGCCAAGAGCGAGCCATCAAGTCAAATCCATCCTCACATGCATTAATCGTGCAGATGAATTTCCGTGCTTGGAAACATTGGTGCCAAGTGACACAAATCAAAGATGTTACGGGCAGGCATTCAGATGAAATATATTTATATATATATAAATCTTTTCAGAGAATGCTGTGGAACGTGCTGTGCTTCGCCAAAGCTTTTTCTTTTTTCATTACGAGTGAGCGTTTGCCAGCTGGGGAACATAATACGGATCAAATCCTGAACCTGCTCCAGCTGACACACAGAGTCCAAAGAGTTCTGGACGTGCCAGTGCTCAGCTTTAGGGGAGATTTCCCCCTCGCTCGTTCCCACGTCCCGCAGGTCTTACCCCAGTAGGAGATTACGTGGAAGCATGCACCGAAGCTGTAGCAGAAGCTGTCCTGGTCCTCTTTGTCGCTGACCTGCCCGTGGCCCATCCTGACCCTGTAGCCATTCTGGAAGAGCTCCCCGGTCGACTTCTTCCGCCTCCTCGTGTTGCTCACAGTCTGGGAGTGCGTGCCTCCATCGGGCCCCCTGTACACCAACATCTTCGTGGGAATCATGTCTGGAAATTTCTCACCAAAGTTTCCTAAGTTAAGTCCAGAATCTGCTTCAAATCCTTCTCTTTACTCTTCTGCATCCACTTTGACACATGTCACAGAAAAAGAATGCGATCCTCCTCCAAAAAGATAAAAGAGAGGACAAAAATAATCATGTGCTTTCATGATATTTGCACCCAACAGGCTGGCATCAAAAACAGCTCTTTTTCGAAGAAGTTTTTCCGTCTGATCTTCCTCAGACCTTGATGGCGATCCACTGCGTTCAGTGAGCTTAAAGCAAACCCTTTTCCCATCAGGATATTAGAGCGTAAGCTCCTTTAGGATTCATCCAGAGAAAGGAAGAGGCCAGACAGCGAGTCTGTCCATCAGCTGGCTTCACTGTAACCTACATCTCATCCCTATAACCCTGCAACTGCTCCTGACAAACCAAATTTCATTCTCTCATCTTAGACCAGAACAGCGTGTGTCTTTGATCTCGTGTTTACAGCAGGAAACAAAGTGATGTGAAAGGCCGGCAAAGCTGTGTACGGAAAAAATGAGAAGCTTTGGCAACTGTTGGGTTTTTCTGTGGATTTAGTGATTCTGCAATAATCCTTAAATTAATCACAGCTGATGTAACAACTGCTATTGTATCTGACATTTAAACTAAATGTGCAGCATGAAAATATAGAAGCTGATGGAGATCTGCTGTTTGCTAAATCCATTTAATCTGAATGTGAATTAAAGATGGAAATATGTGTGGCTTCTGATTTGTGCACATTCTGAATCTGTACGAACAATGAAGAAATAGAATATTGTTTCCTTCTAATAGAGTTTTTTAAGAATATTTTCAGAAACGTATTCAATATTTCTGAAAACAAAAATATAATAGAGAAAAATTGAAATTATTTTATAATAATGGTGAAACACATTTATTTAACTAGGGACACCAAATGTCTTTTTCAGTGAACATATTAATATTAAAATCCTCTTTTAGTTTTACTCTGGAGGAAGAAGCAGCAACATTTGATCTCATAATGTTTAAAAGGGCAGCACAGGATTATTTTCATTTTAAGCTTCTAAATTCTGGCTCAATAATAAAAAAGCCTTCTTGTGTTTATTAGCTGCTGCATCGTGTCTGTGTGCACAACACACAAAAACACAATGAAGTGAGAGTGTTTAAAATCTCAACACACAATCTGGAGTTTTTGCTTTTAAAATCACCATAAAAAAACACATGGATCCGGTAACAAACCCAGATAGAATGAGATGAAGTTAAAAATGAATCTTTGTGATGAGTTTGACCCCAAACAGCAGAAAACAAAGGGGTTGGAATAACCAGGGAGCAAGTTCTTATTCCTGAAACAAGAATAATGGTCGTAAATGCAACAGTGACGCAGATTCTCTACACAGCTGCGTGTACAATAACACCATGAGAAGAGCTGCCTGTTCCCCCTTATGTCCACTAGATGACACCAGCAACCACCACTTCCTCCGACTGTTGTGACACCAGGAGTCAAAGTGCATCAGCTCAGGGAACAAACACATTATGCAACCGTGCTCATCAAGACTGTGACTGTAGAGCCGAGCGTGTTCATGCTGGGGGCGCTGGTGGTTCGTCAGCTGACGAGAGGAGAGAACGCAGCAAAAACACGAGAATAAAAGCTCCTGTTTAATCCTCTAATTCCTCACAGACCTCTCTGAGTGATGAGCTTCACACTTTTAGCAGATTGACTATATTCACTTCTATTCCAGAGCTCGAGCTCCCAACAAAGCCTATTACCTGATTTCATTTGAGCTGCAGCACAAAACTCACAGACCTCAACGTGGAAACATACATTTTCATTCAAACCCACTCCCACATGTGCCTGTTTAGATGGAACACCACCAACAGCCGTGTGATATTCAATGGTGCTGCCGAGCAAAGTAAAGGAGTGAGGTCCATAAAGCGTTTGAGTCGCCGTGTTTTTCAGTTTGCATTCACAGATATTTAAATCTATTTCCACAGCGATCATCAGGATCATTTGAGTTTTCCATGCACGTGATGCAACATAAAGCTCAAAATGAACAAACATATGAGGATAGAATTACACGTGTGCCTGCGTAAATCACACCAACAAGTTCCCTCTTGGCAGCTTTGGTGACTCTTGAAGTGCTCGCCACTCACAGTGAGTCCACCGGGTGGCACCAAAGGCTGCTGGGAAATTTTAAGCCGGAGCTCAGAAGATCCCCTGAGCAATTCTTCGGTGAGTTAATGTGAGCGTCCTTACCGAGCCAGCTCCTGTTCAGGTACACCGACACGAACACCGGAGGGACCGTGAAGAAGTCCACCACCGAGTTCACCTCCAGCCAGAACCACAGCTTGTCGTTGGCAGCGATGAACTGCAGGAACAAGAATGAAAATAGTGACAACAAACTTTATTTAAAACATTTATATCAAACAATGGTACAAAGTGCTTTTCTAAGAAGAGGGAGAGAAGTCACTGTTTTAATAAAGGATTTAAATGAAGCGATAGAGAATTAGTACAAGTTCAATTCCATCCAGATGATGAGAAAAGAAATTTGATCTTTCCAATGCTCAAACTGTACAAGCATTAAAATTGTACATATCTTTTTCTAGTGTTTATTATATTTACATACTGTTCCACATGTTTTCATTTATGCTTATGCACAGCACAGTCTCTTGTATGTGAAAACCTACTTGGCGATAAACCCCAATTCTGATTCTGATAATCCTGACAGATATTCAGGTGCAAGGTTGTTTAAGGCCGTATAGGTGAGGTTAAATTCAAATTAACAGGAAGTAAGTGCAGGGCGGTTGTGTGGTTATTCCTCTTTTTCCCAGTGACAATATGAGAAGCAGTGTTTTGTACATGTAAAAGATGATGGAGGGAGATACACAAGTTGAGTGAGAGAGTGCATTCAAGGTGAGATTTGCAGAGATAAGAGCAGGAAACAATGCTTTCAGTTTGACTTACACGGAGGCCGAAGTACAGCAGGAAAAACACGTTGAACGCCATGTCAATCTGCAGCGTGAAGTCTTCGTAGAAGTTCTGACAGGACTCGATGGGACTGTTAGAGACAGAAACACAGCGAGGTCATGTCTAAAGGAGGAACTGACGGTGAAGTGAGAAATTCAGTGAAACATATGTGGATGTTTTTCATACAAATAAAGTATAGAAGATGCATTCTTCTGTTTTTAAGGAGAAACTGACGTGTTCAAAAGTGCAATATTTTCCAATGTTTTTCTGTTGAGAAAGGACATGCATTCATTACCACACAAGCATTAACTTGTGGAGACACTTTATTAACCCTTAAACAACTGCCAAACAGTGTGCGTGAGTTTCCCATCTCATCAACAACACTTCATTTCAATGTGAAGCGTATGCAGCAGCAGAGAGCGGCTGACGCAGTGGTTTAAGGGTTAAGTGCATGCAGGGTGCATGTCTTCTTTTATGGAATCAGGCAGCTAAAATGCAAATGCAGTGAAGTCTCACCCTCAATAAGCTCGTATCTGGCACTAAGAATTCAAATAAAGAGAAATAATTAACCATGTGCATGTGAGTGTTATAGGTTAGAATGATTGTTTAGCAAAAGTCACGTCCTGGAAGCTGCTGGAGACAAACTGTTAGTTAGTTAGTGTCCAGCCCAGAGCTGTGTGAGTAAAAATATTGACACAGGGACAGTGTATGAGCTGAATTAATTCTTTTTTTAATATTAATACATCAATGTTCCTGTTTCACTCATCGAGATGTTGTTTAATCAAACAAAATATCAGCTAAAATGTGAGATATGACTGTTTTTTGCAGTAGATTTTAAACTGAATTGTGTTTTTAGAGCCCTGTGACCTGTCCAGGGCCGCAGATCATTATAGGATAAATGGTATCGATAATGGATGGATGGTTTTGAACATATCCACAATTTTTAAATTAACTCTATAAAAACATTCAACAGATTAAAGAAAACCATCCTGATTAAAACCAGGAAAGCAGAAATAAATTATTTCTGAAAGATGATTTTTTTTTTAAATGTTTCATTAATGCTTTTGTGTTGCAGAAATATATTTTGACTTAACTACAATCTTTGCTTTTGTTCTCTTTAAAAAGTGGATCATTTTCGTTTCAGATCATTAATCTGAGAAGAAAAAAGACTCTGCAGTTCCCAGACGTGTGATTTCTGATGATACGAACACATATTGTTTCCTTTTAAGAGGTCAGCAGATCAAAAACCTTTGGATCCACTGCCCTCAGGTCACTGTGAGCAAATTTATTTCTAATGCACAGTCCCTGTTGCTCTGCAGTGTTGCAGGTCACCCTCACCTTGTTTGTTTTCCCTCTTCTATGTTAGTTTTATTCTACCTGTACGATCCCTTCAACAGCTTCACTGATGCACACCACAACACTCAGCAGCTACAATCTCCTCTGTGCTGTTTAATACCACCCGGATTAAAGCAAATTGCTTTTGTCATGTAAAAAAATAAAACAAATAACTCCCTTTCATAAAATATTGTCCTCGTAAAGTTCATGAGGTGACATTGAAATACCTCCGGGGGATTATTTTGAATGTGATGCGCAGCGCCTCTGGGTTGATGATGGAGCGGTAGACGGCTTCACGCGACCGTCACATCTCATCCCGAGTCTAATGAAAGCAGCGCTGCAGTTAATCCTCCCCAGCAGAAAGTGTGGTGCTCTGGATCGGTTGCTGTTGTTTAACCCTCAAGTGGGAACTGGATTAGATGTTTCACTACAGGATGATGAGCTTCCTGTTGAAGGTGTCGGATCATGACTCCTTGACCCTGGGCTCCATATGTTTACTGGTTACAGCGCCGTTCAAACAAACATTACTTAATTATTTTATCATGAAAATATGTGGAGATTGAACACATCTGAGTAACACATAGTTTCTTAAAGGACTCTTTAAACACCGGATTATTTATATATTTTTTAGTAATTTACAGGTTTATAGACTTTCAATAAGAATAAGTTGGGATAAAAATCTCTTTAGAAAGAAATGTTATGTATTATGTATTACTATTATGTATTACTATAGTTTTATTTCTTACACTACTCTGCTGAATAACTAGTGAACTATATATTTTCTGGCTTGAATTAAATTGAAAGATTAGTACAATATCAAAGGCTCCTTGTTTTTTCTGCGATTTGACTTCCTGGTTTCCTGGTATTTAAAAAAGGAAATGTCAGGTTTATCGATAATATCATAGATAAGTTTGTGCTGAAAACTATGTGTGTTAGATAAGGATTGTTTAAAAGGTGCTTAACGAAGATCAGCACATAAAACTAAAATGAATGTGGAGTTTTTGGAAGAAAGAAACTATCATTCACAAAGAGGACGTTGTCTTGCTTTGAAAAAGCTATTTCGTAAAAAACAAGTTGGTATGTTTTTAAGAAAATCAGCAATTTTCTCAAGTTTCTTTGGTTTTGGTCAGCTGTATTTTTCCCTGAGTGGCACAGTGGAGCAGTGGATAGCACTGTCAAGGATCTTAGTTTGAATCCCTAGTCAACTTTTTCGTGGAGACAATGGACATTGTAGTTAACCGGAGAATCTAAATTGACATATCACATTCATCTTTTTTCAATTTGCTGGTGAAGAAAAGAAAAAGCTAACCGGTCTTCTTTGAATCACATCTAAAAATAGTCCCTTCACCGTAATGACACCTCAGCTCTGTAAATCCCTGTTACAGAGGGTGACAGAGCGGAGACAGACCTGCAGGGCTAAATAATGAAGTTCCAGTGGGTCTGGTTTGGAAGAGCTCAGCCTGTTATGATCACAAACCTGCTCCGGTCCACAGTAGCACCGGTGTCTCCTCCTCATTCAGTTCAGAGTCACATCAAACAGGATGGACCAGCTCCTTTATAACATCAGGTTAATAACCTTGAGCAGAAACTCAACGGCTGCTGTATCATTCAACACTTTGTCATACATGTCTCAATATAACATGAGTTCATGTTTCATAACTAAACGTTTTTTTTGTTTTTTTTCATTTGAACAAACATTCTCAAAGTTTGAATGTCTAAATGTCTTATGTCTAGTTTTTCAATACGTAAGTGAATACAATCAGCATCGCCTTTAAAGTTTTTCTGATCAGCATAATTACATAGATAAATTATCAAATGACTGTAGGTAATGTCAAACGGGTTGTTCCCATTTGAACCCTAAAAACAATCACAACACAGAGTTTGTTGCTGATGTTAGCTTGTTGTGGTGAACTCTGCCCCCTAGTGGGAAAAATAACCTCATATTATTGAGAGAATATTTAAAATCAGCTTCAAATATTCTGCGCGTTGGAGGCAATTCATGAATCCTGACTCTCAGCTCTGCCTCAACGCTGATGAAGCAAAGAAGAGTGTGGTTCACTCCATGTTCATCTTCACTTACAAATAACAAGACACAACCAAAGTCCCTGAGGACGTTTCATCATCACTGGACTTGATGTCTCTCTCGGTCTGTAGCTTTGAGCCGGGTCGGCCTGCCCATCACAGAACTGCCTCGGCAGCCCCTCAGGACTAATTACAGGGAGGGCTGTATCTCTTACAGTCTGCTGCCACTTACAGAGACACCAGAGAGCCGCTAACTGGCTGCTCTTCGGTTTTAAGTGCTGAGCTTGTTGGGCTGACAGGTAGTGAGAAAATCCTGTTTGAATAATAGAAAGACCTGGATGACTCTGAATAAATAACTAGGACACAGAGCGTCGCGGGATGAATGTGAAAATACGTCCGTACAGCAGCTGTGGAATCATCCTCGGAAGTGTAACGATTCCCCGTCTTGTGCGTGAAAGGTTAAAGAGAGAGGTCAAAGGTCGTCCTTCATCAGGTGACAAGGTATCGGACGCTGCGATGAGCATGTTCTGAGAACAGTAGGCCACAGATGGCAGTGGCGGGGATGTAACTCTACCTGAGCTTGTCCAGATAATGAAATGAGATCATGCTCACAAACCACATCAGAGCGTGCCGAGCCCGCAGCTGTATGCGGTCTTATGAAATAACCTGAGCGCTTACCGCCAGGACCACGAGGCCAGATTACATGAGTTTATGGCCCATTTTCTCATCTCTTGACTCCCTTTGGGCTTTGATAAAAGCTTTTATCCCGGTGGTGTTTTTTCATCCTACGTCTATAATGGCACATCCTGTCCAAACACCAGCAGGCTGCAGTAACAGCACACTGTCGCACACGGAGCTAAAGGGTCTTCCGCTTCCTCTAATTTGATGAGTGATGGTGATTGTGTTGAACAGGAACTTTGGTCTTTCCTGCCTGTGCGAGCGTCTGATCCCTTCATTACACTAAAAATTTGCTAATTTCATCTGTGGCTATAAGGAAAGAGCCGTTCACCTGGAGGGGGACGGAATAAAAACACCCAGCGTTTATGAGGATTTATATTCATTGTTCACGTTTTGGTTGGTTCAGTTGTAATGAGGCCACATCCCTGTGATTCCAGTGTTTACATCTATACGGACACATTTCAAGAGTATCTGATCTTGTGAGACTGAGAAGAACGATTTCACTCTGAACTCTGGGATATTATTAAAGTGGATAAAACAGGATTAATTGTGACCTGTGCAACCTGTATAATAGCATCACAATGATTTAACAAAAAAAATTTTACTTACTCAGAGGAATCTATGAAGTATATTACAAGTGCTCCAATGCTGAGAGCAAATACGAGGACCACCTGTAAAAGAGAAGAAACAAGGAAAGTAGATTTTTAACATTAAAATGTTGTAGATGAGTTTACAGAAATATTTCAAAACCAAGTTACAGAGTGAACATTATATAAGAAAAACAAGCGCATCAAGGAGAAATAATAAAAAATTCGCATAATTAAAAAAATTTAAATCAATAAATGCACAGAGAAAGATGATGGTTCTTTAAAACGCAACCGCAGAAAATTCAACAGCAAATATTGATAATCCAGTAAATCTTATTTTTAAGCAGTTATAAAATGTCAGTTGAATAGATTTAGGTTTTAGGCTGATGCACAAAACAAGACATTTGAAGACATCCCCCTATTTGTAGAACGAATTCATTAATTGATTGAAAAATCGATTACAGCTCTAAATCTTTTGTTCTTCTGGCATGTAGCGAATGTTTCATGTCTATTAATGAGCAATAATAGACCTGGGTACATCCTGTCAGTCTGTTCTGACTGTGGAGCAGCACAAACTCATCAGTTACTGTAAATCCACACCTAAACAAACACACTCAGCTCAGCTCCTTGTGTAAATTGGCAGTGGAAGAGTGGGCGAGGTGACAGGATGCTTTCACAGACACAAACAATGAGGGATGCGACCGAGGCTGAAGCTTCGGTGGCCTGATAATAAAAAAACCCGGGCATCGCTTTGACTCTGTCGTTCTGATGCTGCTTCATGGAGCCGAGCCCTGGAGTAAGCTGACAGACGTTCAGAGCAGACGGGGGGGGGGGCAGGCTGCAGGACGACAAACATGAGATGCATGAGGTGTTGCCGTGCAAAGCAAGAGTCGTCGGGTGACAGCTCTGATACCGAGAGAGCTGGGGAGAAACTTAATCAATAATGCTACAGCAAATCAGTCTAAAGTGTAAATACAAATAGTGAATCAGCATGTGGAGCATGTCACTTTGAGTTTGTCAAAGCAGAGACGGACGCTGGAAGATTTTCAGAAATGGAGGACAGAGGATAAAAATCTCTGTTATCTAACTAGAGCACACTTCCTTTTACAAAGTAGGTTAAACTAAACCACGTGAGTTTATATTCACATTTTGCAGGGCAGCTGTTACAAAACTCATTTTTTTCTGCCATTTAGGTTAGAAAAGACCTAGATTTATTTTCATTCTAACAAAATAATAATTATTGTTCATTATCGTCCATTGATATTTAGAAGTCAAAAGCCCAGTGGCTCATTAATGCCGTTGTGTCCTAATTTTGCAGCAGGTTTTCTGCGACCCTACCTGGCTTTCATCTGCTCACAAATGACACAATGGCCGCCCCTGAACAAGAAACCAAAGGCAATCCATAATGAATGAGCTCAACCCAATTCATTTCCATGATGTGAAATTGTATTGTCAACCTACAACCACCGATGGCTCTGTAATGACAAAAAGCACTCGCATGCATTTTTAATCGCGGGTTCGTCTTTGAAAGGCAGGAAATCTCCAAATGCCTCTGACCTTCTCTGGGTTAGAAACTGGGAACAATGTTGGTGCAACCCTAGAAAATGCTAATGCCGGCTGCAGAGGAAGATTCAGCGATGGCAGTAAATAAAACACGCCAGCGCTCCATCATTCATCTCCGTCACAGGATCTTAGGCCACATTCGGTCAATTGCTGGTTCATGGCTCCAAATACTTTTCACTTCATGTTGATTCAAAGGGACAGAGGGATACTGAAGAAGCTTCTGTGTAAACATAATATCAGTTCCTTCTCAAGTCCTTCACAAGGAGTAAAAACTTAAGGTGTTTAAAAAAAGAACAAGTCCAAGTCAGGTTGAAACAAGTCAGAATCAAGTCTCAAGTCATTTGAGGTAATTCTAGGTATTAATATCAAGTCTGTAAAAGTAATACATATGAACCATTTCCTATGTCTGATCAATGCTTGTGTGCTGTGTTCAACAATAACTCCTCATATAGAAATACAGTTGTGCTCGCATACAGTAAGAGGAAGTGTCTGGCGTACGTGCGGACGGATACCTTTTTTCTTTTCTAACTTTAACCAACAAATGCAGTGAGAGTGCCGCTCTTCACTTGGCTGATGCAATCACAAAGTTCATGATCCTCTTGTTGGATCTTATCTGTGCTTTTAGCAAACGTCCTGTTTCTTGCAGAAGCAAAAGCAGACGTTTTCCTGTCAACCAGACTACAGGTGGCTTCAATGTTCATGCTGTCTCTTATGTTTCCTGTTTATCACAGTGTATAAACACCTTGTTCTTTCACTATTCGTGGTTCAGGTCTGGGCTTAAATGCTGAGAACAAAACCCTCTGTAGAGCTCATACACAACTGCGGTCTGAGAAACTCTTTATTTCACATCTCGAGATAAATTCCCACCACATCTGTTTCAAGCGAAACTGATTTTTTCAGGTCAGAATTTTAGGCTCTGTTGTTCATGAAGAATAGAGGGAGGCATATGTAGAACAGATTTGCTTTCAATTCATTAAATACATCTTTATTGTCATAGTCACTTCTTCCAAAAGTCAAGTTCGAACTACGCAACAACTTGGATCACAAGGCAGATGACTTCTGACGATCTGATGAATTTCTAGATGGAATATTTCACGTTCAAACAGGAGCAGTTGGAATATGAAACCACTCCCACGCTTCAATGAATATTTTTATTTCAAAAAGACAGACAGACAGACAGCCCTAATATCAGGTCCAAGTCAAGACTTAGATCCTAATCTGTTTGACCAAAGTCTGATTTAAGTCTCAAGTCCACAGCTACAAAGAGCTAGAAAGTTTCAACAAGTCAACCCGAGACGAACATTTTTTCAGACTCCCACTTTCCACTTTCACAAGAGCTGATAACTGATGCTGGTGTCCATGAGGTGTCCATGAGACTGCCTGCACCAACAGGTCTGAAGCTTTCATGAGTCGAGCAGCAAACATCAGAAAACCCACTCATGCTCCTCCACTCTTCCTGAAGTGTGACTCACCATCGATCACTGAATAAACTGACAAAGAAACAAAGCAAATTCACCTGGGCACAAAAATCTACTCAAAATCCCTGATATTATTGGATTAGTGGATTAGTATATTTGAAAATAACCTGAGGGAACAAAGGGTTTTCTTAGCACTGAAGAACAGTACTTAAAAAAGAAATACTGGTAAAAGACGATCAACATTAGAAGTTGAGTGAGAACGCTGTGATAATGATAATGTGCCAGTGCTGCAGTGGCTCAGTTAAAAGAATCAGGCTCATTGATATTCAGTTAAGGTAGAAACATGTTTTAGAAATTCTGCAGTGGGTGGTTGTGTTGCTCTGTGAGCTGCTCGCTATCTAAAAACAGGATTCAGAAGAAGCAGGGGTCAGTTTGTTCCATATTCCCTCAAAGCCTGCGCTCACAGTGGGATCAGAGCTGTCAGCGGTGGGATGCCAGGGATTCGTGTGCGCAGTGGACTGACCGTCTTTGTCCGGTGTCCAGTCTGAGCTCTGTTATCTCCTGTGTCTCATCCAGATCGTGCATCTCTCAATTTAACTTAAATGTTCAACGGAGCATAAGTCCCTGACCCGGTGTTCCTCATGGGTGACTCTCTGACCTGCAGCAGATTCCCCCAAGAACACGGTGCTGCTTTCCAAAATAAAATGACCCTGAGGTCTGTCCTGGTGAATTCCAGCCAGCCCATCTGTCCGTCCTCAAACGCCACATTGATTAACAAGAAATCTTAATGCACACAACAGAGGAGGACAGATATATTCTGCAGTTGTGTAGAGCGATTACAAGTTATTATACTGATTACAACACAATATTAATTTTTTTGATTTTTTTTCTTCAAATTTTTTTTTTTTTACATAAAGGTTGAAGAGTGATTCTCAGCTCAATTTGAATCACAGCCTCAACAAAGTTAAGCCAAATAATCTTGATCGCCCCCTGGCTGCTGGCTGCAGTATAAGTCAAGAACCCTGCTTCCACCATGTTCATGTACGGAAAATGGACCAAATTGGAAAGTCAAAGTAAACATGAAAATATTTTTTTCTCAAAGATTGGTTATTTAGGGTCCTCTTTATTACTAATGTAAGTTTGATTTATACTTCCATAGATTTATATACAATCTATGGATTGTTGGTTTACTTGTGAACAATATTTTGCAAAACTAAAAATATGCTTGGGCCTGAGAAAAAAACAATAAAATGATGGTGCAATTTTCTTTTCACTTCTATTAACTATAAATCACTTGGACTGAGCTCATCGTTTTCTTGTCAGAGAATCCTGTGAAGGGTTGTTCAGCCTTAGCAGAGGTATGTGCTCTGGGTGCCAGTTCTCTGTATTTCTATTTAGCTCTTCTTTTGATAGGCTGTGACACCCTGTAATCACCCTGTCCATTAACGTCACCACTAAATAATTGAGTGAAGTGCATTTTGATTTGATGTTGGCGCGTCTCTAATAGATTTAGTGTGGTCATAAAAAGGCTTTTGTAATAACCTTAAATTGTCACTGTCTGCATTGTCACTCTCAAACTCTGTGTTCAGGGTGGTTGCAGTTTATCCTTCGCTCAGGGTGATCAAATTAGCATGATCACAACAACAGCCATAAACGTGATGGACTACACCTCAGACAAACATGCAGACATGGAATCAACATCCGAGACATTGACGGTGTCGTTACAGTGGAACTGCAGGTGCTCTGCCAACATCAAGCTATTGTTGTCGTTGTCTGACAGTTGGGGAGCACTGACCATATTGTTTTTTTATTGTTATTTATTAATTAAAGTTCTTTCCGTTTGAGAACAGGATTTATTTATTTCACGTTGGAATTGTGTAATGCTCGCTCTTAAATAAACGTTGCTTGTGCTGAGACCGCCTGCGCTCCAGCTTCAGCTCTTCTCCTCGCACTCACTCTGCTTCTGTGCACACGGGAAACCTCTGCCCTCAGATTTCTCCTCTGCGCTTGGATTTTTTAAGTCTGTCGAAATTCCTCAAGCAATAAAATGCCATGTTTACTGATGCACAAGCAGGGTATATCAGAGTGCCAGCACAGGGTTTT